ATCTATGCTCACGAGCGGAGAGGCTATTACACGTTCTGGCAGGTTAGTTTAATCCTTTTCTTCTCCTATTTGAATATTGTTGCCAGCTAAAATGATTGACTTATCCTTCTGTTGTTGCCGTGGGGCAGTGATACATGAAGCCAGATTGGCACTTCCTTACAAATTTCTTGTTTAATCTTCCCGACGGATATGTAGTTATGCCAATTTCATTTAGGAATTGATTGCTATATTCTTTTTCCTTGCCCTCAACTTAGGTTAGTTATTATAACCTCATAGCTTCGTTGAATTTGAGCACTGAGGAACTAGTTTCCAAAGCAGGTAACCTGGCTTACAAATAGAAGCACCGTTATTTGTACATATATAAGCATAATTTTGCTTTTATTGTTTACGTGAAGTCCGCTGAAATAGTGGTACTCTCTTTCCAAATTATTATGATAAGAACGTGATTTTTGGGTTCTTATTCACGTACAGTTGGGTGGTGATTAAGAAGATACTAATTGAAATGTTAATAAAGTTGCTTGTAGAAATGGCCATCAGAGGAGGAAAAAAAAAATGTAGAAGAAATGGCCATTGCATTATTAACAGGAAAGAGTATGTTCTCCCGTGACGCATCTGTTATTTCTGTCATTGTCTTAGAGCTGGTCAATTTTAGTTGGCCTTTAGAGACTGATAGCGCTCTCTGCCATTTACCATGTTTTCAATGAATACACTGCTATGTCATCAATAATTGATTTTGGTACCAACAAAATTACAATTTAGTTTCTTTCTTAATATTTATGAAATTATTGTGGAGTCAATCCCATTGTCTTTTTATCTTATCTCAGCTATTTTATTTTTTCAACGACAATTATTCACTTAATAACTAGTGCAAATATATTTGATTGGAGAACATTAAATCTTTGTCTATCTTGAGGGATTGGTGGTTCATTCATTAGTCTTGAACTGTTCCTTGAATTTGTCCTAATTAACTGGCTGCTGATCTTCCCCTTTGTTATCAGCACATGGAGAATGCATACCCTGGTTCCAATATCCTGGTTGTTACATTGACAAATGGAGAGTCGAAACGTGTGGAAGCTCAGCCCGATGAAGAGACACTGAAAGAAGCCATGAGTGTGCTTAGGGACATGTTTGGGCCAGACATACCTGATGCCACTGATATACTTGTTCCTCGTTGGTGGAACAACAGGTTCCAGCGGGGCAGCTATAGCAACTACCCCATAATCTCTAATAACCAAGTCGTTCAGGATATGAAGGTAGACCATACTTGTTAGATGAATAAATATCTTTTTCCCTTGGATTATTAATCATTTTAAAATGCAAGTTGTCTTAAACTTGTCAACATGATTTAACTCTGCGACTGGTTCTTATGTTCCATTCAGGCTCCAGTTGGTCCCATTTTCTTTACTGGCGAACACACAAGTGAAAAATTTAACGGTTATGTACATGGTGGATACCTTGCAGGTGAGACTGTAAGACGGCTATGGTTATTTTTGGCAAATTCCTGTGCTGAATTGGTATTAATTGGAGATCTATTGACGTTGGTCACTAACATTATAGGTATTGACACGGGCAAAGCATTACTAGAAGAAATAAAGAATGAGAAAGAAAGAATGAGCGAGAATCAAACTTTCCTGCTAGAACCTTTGCTAGCATTAACAGGATCATTAACTTTGACACAGACAGAGGCAGTCTCCAGTATCCATAAATGTGATATTTCCACGCAATTATATTTGAGTACCGGAAATTTTGGCATTTCAGAAGCAATCTTATGACTATCTGGACCTCCCTTTAACAACATTCTTGATGATATGAAGAACGAGACAGATGACTAAGTGAAGAATGAGACAAGAGATGGCACAATTGGACATGCAGAGCCGTTTAACACCATCTAATGCTATGCAAGAAATTTGAAAAAAGATGCATGATAGGCCAAGTGCGTAGATGTATCCCTCTTCATAATGCAGTCACTAATCATTGGAAGCTGCTTGGTTGTTGGATCTTTTTGCAGTGGTTTTACGGCCTACTGGCATTTCTGCAATAATTGTTTTTATTGCAAAGAAGTGCACTGATGAAGAAAAGATGATATGGGAGATATTCAACTGTATTTATAGTTAAAACATGAAAGTAGTCATCCTACTTTATCTGGATTCTGCGCCATCTGATGTCATATATATTACTAAAGAATGGGAACAAGCATATTCCATTTCCATATAGCAACAAATGCTTTAGAAATAGTAAGGAAATCTTGTACCAAAAAAAAAATATATAGTAGGGAAATCTCGGTACATCTACATGATTTTTTATTTGACAAACTGAATGAAAGGAAAAAAAATAACGAAGTTGACGACAGTAAAGTCAAAAACCGATAGGTGAGATTCAGAAGCTAATGAAACCCTTCTCCTTCAAGCATTCAATAGTGTCCTTGAGGCTCACCTCTAAAAGAATGTAGTCGACACCCAAGCTCTTAATTTTCTCACTGGATACTTGGTACAGTTTCTGAGTAGGCTTATCCTCAAATCTGGAAACAACAAATCAATTAGATTATAAAAACATAAGATGATATCTTGTGCAATGTGACTGTGAAAAAAGAAATTGAAATTCAACTTACTTTTCATTGAGGTGGAACTCAGGGAAAAGTCGATGCAAGATCTTCCACAACTCTGAAACGTCTACGGTGCTTTCAACCATGCAATATTTGCCTGTAGCTGAAGGAATCTCAAATGCTTGAATATGAGCATGTGCAACATCTCGAACATCCACAAAGAGGTCAAATGGTGGGAGTGCCCGTCCTGCATACAAAACACCTTTCAGCAGAGACTAGACTACATTCTACATATTATAGGCATAACAATCAATATTCTTTCAAATAATGAGTGCTACTATTCCCCAATATTACTGGAATTATATATGTATATATATACACAAACTGCATGGTAATGATTACCATTGATTATGTTCAATACGAGCTCCACAGTGAGATTAAGAGTTGGCTGTAGAATAGGACCGAACACCAATCCTGGATTTATAGTTACCAAATCAATCCCATTCGCTTTTGCAAACTTCCAAGAAGCCACCTCAGCTAATGTCTTTGAAAGCGCATACCAAAGCTGATAATAATACATATATAATACTACATTGAGCCATTTTTATATAATTCATAATTGATTTCTAAGTCATATTATATATATCAGACAAAGTAAAGATAACGATAAATCATATATATACATTAGATTTCTCACAGAAAGTTGGATTAGAAAACCAAGTCTCATCAACTACCACATCCGGAGTGAGAGGTTTTTCATTGTATAAAACTGTAGCCATTGAAGATGTCAGAACTACTCTCTTTATTGATGCAACTTTTGCACATGACTTGAGAACATTAAGTGTTCCCTTCACCGCTGCATCGATTAATTCCGCCTGAAATTGGAATTGCCTTTTTATTAGATTTAGATCCATCAACGACACAGTTACAGAGAAAC